AATAGGATAAAAAGATAAATTTCATGAAAGTATTAGCCAGCAAAAGCTGTCTGATGAATATTAAGTAGATTATAAAAATCTTTTAAAATTATTTTATAATATCTTATTTACATTTAATTATATATCTTTGTGGGATACAATATGGTTTTTTTCAAAGTATGTATGCAGTATAAGATAATCAAATCAAAGATACTACCATATTCATCACCTTTAATGAAAAACATTACATTACAGGGACCAGCAGGTGGCATGGTGATTAAGGCGCTGGATACTCTCACATGGCTGATGTGGTTCAAGTCCTGGACCTGGTAGCTTGCTTTCTCACTTTCTTCCTCTCTTTCTGTGTCTCTGTCTGGTCAAATTAAAATAAATGAATAAAGAATTCTTAAAAAAAAAAAATTGGGGCTGGCAGGTGGCGTGGTGATTAAGGATGCTGGACTCCCACATGGCTGACCGTGATTCGAGTCTCAGACTGGCAGCTTGCTTTCTTGCTTTCCCTCCTTCTCTTATTCTGTCCCTCTCTGGTCAAATTTAAGTAAATAAGTAAATGAGTAAATAAATAAATGGATAAATAAAGCTAAATAAAATAATTGTTTAATAAAAAAGCACACATTACATTACATAGTACACCTTTCATTTTTGTTTCTTTTTAAATTTTTGCTCTAAGGTGTGTGTGTTCACAAGAGAAAGATAGTAGGATGGGGAGTAGTGCTACCTGTCCTATGGCAAAAATTACTGTAGAAACGGTTAAGAGGGAAAGTAAGAAATCATCCCTCAGGGGAATGGCTACACTCCGGCCTCCACTGGGGACTTTGGACATGCACAAATATGTGCCCAGTATGATTTTTGAGTCCTGCCAGGTCTGGGACTCAAACCACATCAGCAATATGGAGAGTTTACTACCCTAACCACCATACCACGTGCTGGCCCCCGATTTTCATTCTACTAGTTTTCTGATATATATACACATAGATATCTCTGTCCATATGATTGACAACATCCTTTTTTTATTTTACTCAGTTGCGGTATATTGTTCTATAACCTATTTATGTGCATTCTAATGTCTGTTAAATGCTTTTTCCTGAGCTATTTCCTGAACCCTTTAATCCCCTGTAGAGTGTCTGGTATCTGTAGTTACCCCCTCTACTTCCTTTTTAAAATCTTTCAATTTCTGCCCACAGAGTCCAGATATGAAGTATACGTTTAGCAGGTCATACAATGTTTGTCTTTCCTAGTCTGGCTTGTTTCACTTAGCATTACGTCTAGATTTGTCCACTTTGTACTGAATGACAAGATATTACTGTTCTTTATGGCTAAGTAGTATTCCATTGTGTGTATGTGACACATTTTCTTAATCTAGTAATCGACAATTGGGCAATTAGGTTGATTTCGTGTCTTAGATATTGTGAATACAGCTGAAATAAACATGGATGTAGCAAGTTATCTCTCCCATAGAATTCCCTGTCCTTCGGGTAAACATGAGCAGTGAGATTACTGAGTCATAAGATAATTCTATTTGTGGGGGCTGGCAGGTGGCATGGTGTTTAAAGGCTCTAGACTCCCACATGACCAACCATAGTTAGGGTTCCAGACATGGAGTCTTGCTTTCTCACTTTCCCTCTCTCTCTTTCTCTGTGTCTCTCTGAATGACCAGATCTCACTGTTCTAGACCTGTACCAGTCGGCCACATGCAAGCCCAGTGCCTTCAACACCATGCCACTTGCTGGCCTCCATTTTGAGTTGACTTTTGTTAATTGTGAGAAATAGGGGTCTAGTTTCATTTCCTGCAGGTGGGTATTAGATCTCCAAGCACCATTTGTTGAAAAGACTTTATTTTCTCCACTGTATTGTCTTGTACCCTTCGTCAAAAATCAATATGGCTGGGGTCAACAGGTGACATAGTGGTTAAGGACCTGGATTCCCATATTGCCAACCACAGTCTTGAGTCTTAGACCTACCGACTTGCTATCTCACTTTCTCTCTCTCTTTCTCTCTGTCTCTCTCTGGTGAGCACACATGCCCCATAGCAAATTAAAATAACAATAATAAAAAATTAAATAAATAATTCTTTGTTTAAAAAATCAGTTTAGCAAAGGTATGAATGTTTTTTAATTTATTTCTGGATTCTCTATTCTGTTCCAATAGCATGGATGTCTGTCTTTTTCTTGGAGAGATTTTCTTTTCTTTTCTTTTCTCAGGATCTTGGGCACGCACGCACACGTGCCCGATGTGAGTTTAAGCCACTGGGTCTGGGCCTCGAACCCCAGTCAACTACATGAGAGTCCAGCGACATAGCCATTATGCTACCTGCTGGTCCCAGCATGTATGTCTGTTTTTATGCCAGTACCATGATGTTTATTTTTATTAAGAATTACTTATTTAATTTTATTTATTCATTCATTTATTTTTTAATTTGACCAAAGTGAAACAGAGAGAGAGAGAAAGTAAGAAAGCAAGTCACCAGGTTCAGGACTTGAACCATGGTTGGCCATGTGTGTGTCCAGCAATCATACCACTTGCTGGGCCCCTCATGCTGTCTGTTTATTTATTTATTTATTTATTTTATTTTATTTTGAGAGGTGTTTACTATTGGGCACGTGCGCTCACCAGACAGACAGAGACAGACAGAGAGACAGAAAGTGAGAAATCACCCCCACCCCCCAGGGGAGATGGCCACATCACAATCCCTTGTCCTCCGTTCTCCTCTTGGGATCTTGGGCACACACACACGCGTGCCTGGTATGAGTTTTAAGCCACCGGGTCTGGGACGTGAACTGCGGTCGACTACATGGGAGTCCAGTGACATAGCCATTACGCTAACTGCTGGTCCCCATGCTGTTTTAATATTACAGTTTTGTAATATATTTAGAGGTCAAGTAATGAGATGTCTCCAATTTTATTCTTCTTGGACAATACTGCCTTGATGATATAGGGTCTTTTATGATTATAGATAAATTTTATGAATTTTTTGAATTTCTGTAACGAGCAATTTATAGACATTGCATTAAATTTGAGACCAGCAGTTGGCAAAATGGCTTTGTCGCTGGACTCCCTGTGGTCGATCATGGTTTGAGTCCTGGACCCAGTGGCTTAAACTCACACTGGGCGCTTCTGCGTACACGCTAGAGGAGGAGAGATTGTGGTGTGACCACCTCTCTAGAGAAAGATTTCTAGCTTCTGTCTCTGTCTCTGTCCCTCTGGTGAGCATGTGTGCCTTACAATAAAAACCTCTCAGAAAAAAAAAAAAAAAAAAAAAAAAAAAAATTTTTTTTTGAAATTAGTTTTTTGCTCTCCTGATGTAATGGCTACTCAGTAGAGGTCCACTAGATAAGATCCTTGGACCTTGGACTTCCAAACCAAAACCCAAGATAATTTATTTATTAATTTATTTTTTAAATGGAGGAGAAGGGACTACAGAATGGCCATTCCAGGGGGGGTGGGGTATGATTTCTCGCTTTCTCTCTGGCAACCACGTGCACCCTATAGCAAATACTTCTTAAATAAAGAGAAGTATATTTAATAACAGTAAATAATAAATATTTAATAAAATATTTAATCTATTAATTAATTTGCTACAGGGCATGTATACTCACCAGAGAGAGAGAAAGGAAGTAAGAAAGCAAGTTACCATGTCCAGGATTTGAACCATGGTCACCCACGTGGAGAGTCCAGCACCTTAACAACCACAGTTGGCCATGTGGGAGCCTAGCACCTCAACCACCATGCCACCTGCTGGCCCCACTAGAATTAAACATTGTAGAACACAGACTTTTCTGTAAAGTCCCTTGCAGAGGCAGTCTTAGCCATGGTGGAAATCTAGGTTATTATTTGACAGATACACAAAAGTCTATTTTCTTTTAATGATTATTTTATTCAACATTTATTTATTTAAATTTTCACCAGAGAAAGGGAGAGAGAAAGAGAGAGAGAGAGAGAGAGAGAGAGAGAGAGAGAGAGAGAAAGGAAGTCGCCAGGTCCAGGACTTGAATCGTCATCAGCCATGTGGGAGTCCAGCACCCTTAACCGCCATGCCACCTGCCAGCCCCAAAAAGTGTATTTTCTTTTATCTGTTTGTGTATGTGCATGCACACAAATTAATAACTGAATTTGCCAGGGCCAATTGAGGTGGTTAAGACACTGGATGCTACATAGCCAACTCCATGGTTTGAGTCCTGGGCCCGGCAGTTTGAAAATCTCACTGGGTGCATGTGTGTGCATGACCAAAATCCAGAGAGGAGAATAGAGAAGGGAATGTGGTATGGCCATCCCCCTGGGGAAGGGGTGATTTCTTATTTTCTTTTCTCTCTCTTCCCTCCTTCCTTGCTAGAAAACAGCTTTGTAACTGTATAAAAAATATTTACAGGGCCATTTATAGTGTGTGTGTGAGGTACTGGGGCAGGGTAGGGTAGGCACTGTTTTAGACAAGCTTATGCTGTATCATAATCCTCCTGACTCACTCTCCAAAATAGCTGAGACCACAGGCATATATACCACCACACCTAGCTCTTTCAGACAGGCTCTTTGCTAGCCACGAGCTTGTGATCTCCTGTATCAGCCTGCTAAACAGCAGCATTCATTATACACTACTGTGGCTAGGTTTATAACTACTACTTATACAGCATTTACACTATATTGGGTATCATAAGTAATCTAAAGATGATTTAAAGTATATGGGAGAATGTGTGTAGGTTACATATAAATACTATACTACATGAAGACTTGAGCATCTGCAGGTTCTTGTATCGAAGGGGACTGTGGAACAAGTCACCCTGAATACTAAGAGATCTCTATTCTTTCTCAACATCTTAGTGATCCAAACAGCTCAATAAATCAAACAAGCTATTTTTATATTTAAATCTTATATACACACGCATACACTATAATGCAAGTGACTATATAAAATGGATTTTGGTCTACACCTCCTTATACTATTTTTTTACTTGCCAGGAGTGAACATTAAATAAATTGCTGGTCACTGACATTAAGCCTTAAACACTTACAAAATACACTGCTCCAAAGCTTCCATGGCCAATTTCTCTGAGATCTGTGAAGAGTTTCTCTGGATCTTCTTTGAAGAAGAGCTCTGCAATTTCAGGGTCCTTCAGGCTGCCCGCTCTGTTAGTTGATGGCATCCTGCTGGGCAGACAGCTGTCCGATTCTAATTTTATTCTGCTATCCCAACCCTTGTTTCATCTGTATGAATGAAGCCACGCTGGCATGAACTTCTGTAAAGAAATAAGAAAGTAGTCAGTAGAAGCAAATCTGCTAAGAATAATTAGTGTAAAATCATGTACTTACACATCTACAAAATTATTTCAGGGCTAGAATTTAATTGAAATGGCAGTACAGCCTACTATTATAGTTATTCCTACACCTGGGCTTATCATCACCATCATTTGTGGCACTTAAAAATAGAGAGAGAGAGAGAGAGAGAGAGAGAGAGAGAGAGTGCAGTCCCTACAATATGGTACTTTAAAAAATTAGACAAATTTATACTTTGGGAAGTTATCTACAGCAGTAGTTTATATAATTATAATGCAGTTAGCTCATCAACAAAGTAGATAATATAACACAGATTATTTTTGAAAGACACAATACACAAGGTCTACATCAGGAAGACATTCATCTATTAATTATCTTCAAATATAAGAAAATAAGCAAAAGATGGGACCAGTAGATGGCATAATGGTCACACAGGTAGACTTCCACATAGTTGACCGTGGTTCAAGTTTCGGGCTCGGTGGTTTAAAACTCACATCGGGCATGCATGTGTGATGTGTGTGTGTGTGTGTCCAAAAGCCCAAGAGGAGAATGGAGGAGAAGAGACTGCAGTGTGGCCATCCCCCCTGGGGTTGATTTCTTTCTTTCTGTCTCTCTGTTTCTCTGTGTCTCCAGCAAGCACACACGCCCTATAGCAAATAATCCTCTCTTTAAAAAAAGAAAAGAAAAGAAGCAAAAGATATAATTTAGTAAACTTTATTATCCTTTCGGATAACAAATGTCAGTATATTAATCAACTCTAATAGACATTCCAAATAAAAATGCAGTGGGAAAACTTAATGAATTTAGTATAAACAACTGTTTCCCATATACCTGATTCATCATGTTAAAATATGGCCTTCATCAATTCTGTCTCATTAGATAATAGACATACAGATAATCAATAAATTCCCTAATGGGTTGGCTATAAATTTCTTTATATCAAATTACCCCATTCTTAAATGTTTTTCATAATTGAAAGGCTTCACAATCTGGGTTCTAAAATGACACTGCCTACATATAACTTTTGGCAACACTATATACAAACTGAATTTTGGTCATCTTATTTTCCTAACCTGGGGGGAAGAAAAAAAGAAACTACTTAATACAGTAATAGTTATGGTAAAAGGAGTTAATGTAACCACAGACAGTACTCTAGTATAGTAAATGCTACAATAAGTATTAGCTAGCTTCTTTTAATCTGATGAGATTAAGCGAATTTTTAAAGCTCCAAGATTTATTTCATTAGTCTTCTAAGTTAAAAAAAAAAAAAAAGGCCCATCCCATTCTTAGAAAAGTAACTGATTTTTACTCTTGCTAGGAAACATTTTTGTAACTGCATAAAAAATGTTAATAGGACCAGTAGGTAGCACAGTGGTTAAGGTGCTGGACTCCTTCCCACACGGCCTACTGTGGTTCGAGTCCCAGACCTGATGGCTTGAAAATCATGTCGGGTGCATGTGCATGCATGCCCAAATTCCCAGTAGGAGAATGGAGAAGGGTGTGGCCATCCTCTCAAGGGGCGATTTCTAACTTTCTCTCTCACTGTCTCTTCACTGGTGAGCCCAAGAGCCCTATGAGGGGCAAAACACTTAGAAAGCCAGCTTCTTAGCCTAGTGGTTAAAGGAGCCAGAACCCACATGTAGTCTACCACAATTAGAATCCTGGGCCCCAGAGGCTTGAAAATATGTCAGGCATGTATATGTGTGTGTGCCTAAAATCCTGACAGGACAGAGAAAAAGAGAAGAGATTGCAACATGACCACAGTCCATTGTGGAGTGTCTTCTCCTCCTCCCTTTCCCTGTCTCCAGCAAGCACTTATGTCGCCTGGCAATTACATATATACATACATACATACATACACACATACACAAACCATTTATGTCTTTTTGGACCTCCATAAATTAACACTGCATTGCAATAAAAAGGTATAAATTGTTCATTTGTATTCCATTTCTAATATAAATTCAAGTATACCTTACATACTTTTACCAGTTTTTCTGCTCTGTAATTCTTTAGAATAAAGAGTCTCAATTATAGAACCATGTGACCACAGGAAAGTCACTTAATATCTTATCCCTAAAATGAGTATGTTGGACTAAATTCCATATAAAGTATCAATATTCAATTAGTCTATCTGTAAAAACAAACAATACCTCAGTGTTACATCAAATCTCTTTTCGGAACTTTGAAAGATCTAATTTTTGTACCCTTTTTATTAAATATGAGAAGTATTTTACCCTAAAATTCTAACCAGTCCTATGATTCGTATCTTCTGTCCTATCTGCCTAACAAACTCCTACTTGAAATCTTTCACAGTTTGGATTGTCATATTTGTAAAATTTTAACTATTAGGAAAGCCAATCACTTTCCCTTCATGCTCCAAAATATCGTAGAGCACTTACCAGATTTTGTCTGTCTATCTGTGTCTCACTTTCTCTCTGTTCTAGACAGACAGGTATATTTATCTCATTAATCTTTGTATCATCTCTCTACCTCCTACCCCCTTACCTCTTAGAGTTAATATTACAAAAATAATTGTTGAATTAAAAGAATACATTTTAGGAACCAGCACATGGTCGACCACGGTTCAAATCCCAGACCCAGTGGCTTGAAAATTATGCTAGGTGCATGTGTATGCATGCCCAAAATCCCCAGAGGAGAATGTAAGAGGGCCATCTACCCTAGGAAGTGATTTCCCACTATCCCTCTCTCCAGCAATCGCATGCCCCCAATGTCAAAAAGCAAACTAACAAACAACCTCTGAGAGAAATCTTTCTTTCTGCTCAGAGAAACTGGTGGGAGGAGCAACACAATGGGGATCCAGCAGACGGTAGTAGTTAAGGCACTGGACTCCCATGTAGTTGACCACAGTGTAACTCCCAGACTCAGCAGCTTAAAACTCACACTAGATGTTTGTGTGTATGCGAGCCCAAAGGCCAAGAAGAGAATGGAGGAGAAGGAACTATGGTGTGGTCATCCCCACCAGGGTGTGATTTTTCGCTTCCTGTCTCTGTTTTTCTCTGACAAAAGCACTTGCCCTATAGCAAAAATCTCTCCAAAAAAGGGGGGAGGGGGATACACTAGGTCTGAATGCTTGTGTGTGTGTGTGTGTGTGTGTGCACCCAAAATACTGACAGGATGAAGAAACAAAGGAGAAAGGATTGCAGCATGAACATGCCCCATTAGGGGGTATGCCTCAACCATCACTTTGTCACTCTCTGATGAGCCCATGTACTGTATAATAATTAAAAAACACGATCTCATCAACAGAGGAAGAAAATCGATTTGAAAAATATAACATTCACTTATAATAAAAACTGTAAACAAACTAAGAATACAGGGAAATATCTTCAGCCTGTTAAAGATACCTACAAAAAACAAAAAAACAAAAAACTATAGCCAACATCATACCTAACACTTGAAGACTTAAAGTTATCCCCTATAGAAAAGAAACAAGGGCTGCGGGTCCTGTAGCCTTGTGGCTAAGGTTGCCAATCCCACATGGCTGACAACAGTTCACATTCCAGCCCCAGCAGCTTTGAAAAAAACTATGGGTGCATGTGTGTTTATGTTCAAAATCCCAACAGGATGGAGAAACAGAGGAGAAAGCGTTGCAGCATGACACACCTCACTGGGGGTGCTCTCTCTCTCTCCCTTTCCTGAATGCAAATGCCCTCTGGTAATTTAAAAATAAATAAGTAAGAAGAAGAACCAGAAGATGGAGTAATGGTTACATCACTGGACTCCCACATGGCTATCTCTGGTTCAAGTCCTGGACCTGGAGGTTTAAAATTCATACCAGGCACATGTGCACATGTCCAAAATCCCAACCCAAGAGGAAAATGGAGGAGAAGGAATTATGGCATGGCCATCCCTTTGGGGGGTGAGGGTGGGGGGGCCTTGCTTTCTGTCTCTTCCGCAAGTATGCACACCCTATAGCAAAAATCTCTCTTAAAAAAAAAAAAGATAAAAAAAATGTACTCGAATCCCTCCTATTCAACATGATAATGGAAGTTCTTCTAGCAAATGTAATAAAATAAGAAAAAAAGGAAAATCCATATAAGGAATAGAAGTAAGTAGGGATAAGGTAGAAAGGGAGGAAGTTTGTGTAGTTACTAACAAAATTACTAAGCAGATGGAAAATCCCAAGAATGTACCAAATATTATAGCAAAAAGAGGAAATGTAATATTTAGAAGTTTAACAATATGAGTAGAATTTATAAAGTAAGAAAAATGAAACCCTGATGAAAGAAATCAAAGTTGACCTAACTAAATGAAGAAATGTACCATGTGTGTGGACTGAATGACTCAATATTGTTATCATGTAATTCTCCCTAAATGTGTCAAAATTCAATGATTGACAGATTCAGCATAATCTCAAAGTCCAATAGAATTTTTCATACATATCACGAAGTGATTTTTTTATGCATAAAACATATCTGAAAGGCAAAAGTATTCAAATTAGTATTAAAAAATTTTCCCACAATCCTTTCTCCTCCACTTTCCGCCTGGGATTTGGGAGATGCATGCACACACACACACACACACACACACACACACACACAAACACACACAAAGTGATCAAAGTGATTTTCAAGCCACCAGGTCTGAGACTCAACTGCAGCTGACTATGTGAGAATCCAGCACTTTAACCACACCACGTGCTGGTCCCAGACAAAATAAATTCCTTTTTCTTTAACTCCATTCATTCATTCACTTATTTGAATTTGACCGAGAAGGGGGGAGACAGAGAGAAAGAGAGAGAGGATGCAAGCCACCAGGACTAGAACCACAGTCGGCCATATGGGAGTCCAATGCCTTCAACCACCATGCCACCTGCAGGCCCCCAAAATAATTTTTTTAAATAGAAAAGTTGAAGGACCCACACATACTTGATTCTAAGATTTAATATAAAACTACAAAGTACACTGAGGCCAGCAGGTGGCATAGTGGTTAAGGGGCT